ATCAGTGGGGACACACCTGACATTACTGGGGACACACCTGACATTACTGGGGACACCTGGCATCAGTGGGGACACAGCTGACATCAGTGGGGACACACCTGACATCACTGGGGACACAGCTGGCATCAGTGGGGACACACCTGGCATCACTGGGGACACACCTGGCATCACTGGGGACACCTGGCATCACTGGGGACACACCTGACATCAGTGGGGACACACCTGACATCAGTGGGGAGCAGCAAAAATCCCCCCAAACCCTCGACCCCACCCTGAAGCTTTGCCCATGCCCAGTTTTTAATCCAACATTTGGGTGCCTTTATGTTTTACTGGGATTTTTTCTTTTTGGGCTCTGTGTGTATACAGGGATTTTGTGTAGATAGGTTTTACACATGATTTGTATTTATATTTATATTTATATTTATATTTATATTTATATTTATATTTATATTTATATTTATATTTATATTTATATTTATATTTATATTTATATTTATATTTATATAAAAACGCATACACCTACCCCAAAATAAACAAAATATATACATAAAAGCTGTCTGTGAAATTATAAACACAGACTCTGTAAATAATATACCAATAATACACATGTATAAAATGTGTATAAATAATTTTTTTAAAAATTATGTTTATAATTCTGATATAGCCATGTGTATTATATATAATTATCTATCATATCATAGATATAGTACATATTATGTAATATATATGAAATGCATTACATGGTATATACTGTATCTATTGTATAGTGTATATATAAATGTATAAATATGTAAAATATATAAAATATAAATATACATAATGTATATATAAATATAGAGAGAATATAAATATATCTGTAATATATAGTAGGATATACAGTTTTAGCATATAGAATATTATATAGTATTGTTATATAAAATATTGTTATATATATAGTTATAAATATATTGTTACATATTGTTATGAAATATTGTTATGAAATACTGTTATAAATTATTATTATTATTATTATTATTATTATTATTATTATTATTATTATTGTTGTTGTTGTTGTTGTTGTTGTTGTTGTTGTTGTTGTTGTTGTAGCATAACTTGCAGTGGGTTTGCTTTATATGAACCATGCCTATATAAAATATATATATTTACATTTTTCATGGAATTACAGCCTGAGCTGGAAGGGATCACCAAGGCCAGACTCAGCACGGGGCATCCTGCAAGTTCAACCCCAGATCCCCAAACCATCCATCATTTTTCCAGCTCCCAAACTGCTGCTCCCCTGTCCCAGCTCATCCCCCTGGGGCTCCCCCTGCCATTCCTGCCCCGGGATGGGGTGGGAAGAGCCCCCAGCCCTGCCCACACTCACTTCCTGTGGAAGGCATGTTTGCAGGGACAGATCCCCAGCTCGTCCTTGGGCTTGAACTCCTCCAGGCACACGGCACAGATCTGCAGGGTGTGGGATGCACAGGGAGTGTCAGTGGGCAGGGAGCAATGCACAGGGAGCAAATAAAAACTACCAAACGGCTCAAATCATGCAATCCTGGGAATTGGGTTGGAAAAGACCTCAAAGATCATCCAGTGCCACCTTCCACCAGCCCAGGGTGCTCCAGGCCCCGTCCAGCCTGGCCTTGGGCACTTCCAGGGATCCAGGGGCAGCCACAGCTTCTCTGGGCACCCTGTGCCAGGGCCTGCCCACCCTCACAGGGGTGAAATTTCCCTTAGAGCCTTCCCAAATTTTGCTGCCCAAGCTTCAGGATCACAGGCTGAGGCTCGGGTCTCCCTTTGTGGTGGCAGGGACCATGGAGCCTGCACAGAGCAGCCCCAAAGCTGGGATGTGTTTGGGTTTTTGTTTTTGGGGTGCAGGGGGAGGGATCCTCGCTGCTGCCTGGTCCCTGGCACTGAGCTGCATCCACAGGGACACCTCTGGGAAGAGGAGAAGGCAAAGAAGTTTCTGTGCCTATCCCAGGGCTGGGAAAGCTGGTGGCTGTTTTCTCAGCCAAAACCTCCTTCCCCCTCGCAGCCAAATCCTCCTGACTCGTTTTGGATATCCCAGGGGATTTTGAATATTCCTGGGTGGTTTTCCCAGCCTCCCTGGCCTGGGAGCTCTCAGTGCACCAGGGCCAGGTGCAGCTGTTGGGGTCAGCCCCTGAGGAACACACACATCCCGAGCTCCCCCAGGGCCTGGGAGAGGCAGAAAGGTGGAAAAAGGGGAAAACCAGCTCCAGAGACAGGGAGGGAAGAGCTGGGTGGGCGCTTTCCCTCCGCAGGGCTCTGGGCAGCCGCCCCGTCATGTTGGAAAATTCCCACCCCGACCTCTGCTTTCCAGAAACACTGACTGCAAATGCCAAAATACAAATGCCCAAAATGGGGTATTTTTGAGCTAAACCCTTCCAGGCTTTTCCAAATCCCAGAGAAGAGCTGGAACAGCTCTGTCCTCTTCCCCACAGAGGCCTCATCCCAAAAGCTGGGAGAGCTGCAGACAGCTGGGAACAGAGGTGGAGGAGGAGGGCTGAGCGTTATGGAGGCCATTCCCAGCTCTGGCACATTCCCAAATCCCTCCTCTATCCACTTCTCACCCCAGGAAGTGCTTTGAAGCCTGTGTGCCGACAAAAACCCCACTGCAGGTCGATTTAATGGGAGTGGATCAGAGATGGGGGCCTGCAGCAGGGACTGCTCACAACCCTGGGGCCCCTGGGATTTCCCCTGGGGGCTGTGGGGAGAGCAGAGTCAGGATAAAACGTGGGATGGGCTCTGCTCAGGGGATTAAAATAAAATAAACAGTGGCTTATGAACAACTGGAGCTGGTGCTGAGCAGATGAGCAGCCTCGTGCCCGGATGTGGGTGGGCATTTTTGTTATCTCTGGCAGAATAAATAAATCCAGGCCGTGCTTTGACGTGGGATTTGAGCAGATTCCTGCTCAAATTCATCACAAAAAATGGGCTGTGAATAGAAATGCTCAGCCCCAAAAAGCCTGGAAGGCCATGGAGATAAACCAAGGTGTTTCAGCCCTCAGGGGGCGGGGAGGGAGGAGCGGATCTGCCTCTTGCAGGAGCCAGGGGAGAATGTTTATCCTGGATTTCAGTTTTCCCTGCGCAGAGCTGTGCTGGATATTGTCACAGCCTGACGACAGTGGTGAGGCCAGAGGGGATGTCCCTGCTCAGGGACATTGTTTATACAAGGCCCAGCCTGTCCTGGCCTCCCCTTATCCACAGCTCTTTATCAGGGTGATAAGAAGAACCCAATAAATAACAGTAACCATGCAGGAAAACCCAAGGGGAGCCAGGAGGAAGGAGAGGGCTTAACCCAGATTTTTGCAGAGGATCTTTCCCCTTTTCCAAAGCAGAGCTGGCTGCATGCTCTGCTCCCAGTGCAGTTGAATTTGAGGGTTTGTCCCCTCCCCAGGGTGAGGAAGAGGAGGGTGAGGGAGCTTTTGTTGCCCCAGGATGTGCTCACCTCATGGAGATTCAGCTCCTTCACCTTCTCCTTGAGTATGACCTGCAAAGCAAAAAGCTGGGGTGAGGACAGAGCTTCTGCCACGAGCACCCCAGGAAAAATCTCCCCAGAGGGATCCCACTGGGTGTCCCAGCAGAACTGGAAACCCCCCAGTAACCCCAGCCAGCACGAGGGGCCCCGTGCAGGGACAGGAGGGGAGCACTGGGAAAGATAAAACCACAAGGACCAAATCCAGGTTTCCACCCGAATTTAACCCTCCCTGGCTACCACCTCATCTTCCCTCCATCCAAGCTGAACACCTGGGGAGGGCTGTAAATCCAGGACAACTGTGTGTTTTCAGCCCAACTCCACCCAGCTTCCTGCACAGATCAAGGGATCAGAGACAGAAAATCCCACAAATCCTGGAGAAAACAGGACGTGGAAGCAGCAGCCTGACACCCACCTCTGGGCTGTGTTTATTTTAACTGGAAAGTGCAGGTGGGTGCAGGGAAGAGCTGGGCTTGCCATGGAGCTGTTCCCTGGAAAAGCCCTGTGGCTGCAGGGATTTGGAGCAGCCAGGTCCAACCCTGGGAGCAGATCCAGACCCTACAAAACCTAAGTTTGGTGACTGGGGGAGTGATGGCATCACTGCTCTGCAGAGGGTGAGCCTGGAGTGCTCCAGAGCTGGAGATGTTCCCACTGCTCAGGATATCAGTGGAAAACTGGGAGCCTTGTGGATGAGCAGGTGAGGGATGGTCCTGGGGGGCCCTGCTGGTAAGGGACAATAAAATCAGCAGGGCCAGGTTGGCCTAGGTGTTATAACTGCCCTCTGAGGGCCAGAAACCTCCCAAGGAGAGGAACAGCAGGAGGAAAACTGATGGATTTGGCACTAGGGAGAAGGGAAGGGGGGAAAAAGTTAAGAGGATCATCTCACCTGTTTGTAGGCGTAAAGCTCTTTGTGTGCCTGATGCCTGAGCCTGCAATGAAACCAAGGAGAAACATGAGGTCAGGCAGAAGAATCAGGATTATTGTAATACCTCAAACATTCCACTTCCCTCCTTTCCAGCTTTAACATGTTACATTTTATTTTTTTTGTTATTTCAGAAATGAGAATGGCCACAGGAAACTACATGTTTAGGCAACATCCAGCTTTCCCTGTTGCTGGGAAGGCAACATCTCCATCCCAAAGCACACAACTCCTCCCTTATCCCTCTTTTGATCTCCCTGATTTTCCAAGCAGACATCAACCACATGGGTAAAACCAGAAAAAGAGGAAATCACAATCTGCCATAAATCCCCTCAGTTTCCAACCACTTCTGCTGGCAACAGCTCCAACACTGAATGCAGGACTGTTTTTCAAGGCCTGGGAGCTCAGACCTGAGGAAAGCCCTGCTCCTATTCCAGCAGGGAATGGGGAGGAGACTCCCTGCCCAGAGCTTTCCCACCAAAGCCCCCATCACGCTGCTTGGGTGACACCACGTTCCTCAAACTCAGCTTTATCCCCAATTCTAGGATCAATCAAACCAGATCCATTCCTGGAGCAAACTGAGGGATGGAGAGGAATGGGATGGGCCTATTCCAGGAACACCTGCTGCAGTGGGAAGTCCAGCAGGAATTTTAGACCACAAGCAAAGTGCTGGTTCCATCCCCTCCCTCCCCAGTCTCCCCTCTCCAGAGTCAGAGCCAGCAGAGCTCTCTGCAGGCATCTGCTGGCTGGAGAAACCCATTATGCTCCTAAAATAAATGCATTTCAAATTAAAATAACCAATATTGCCTCTCATTACCAGACATGGCATTTAATAATTGGAAAACTCAGGAAGGAAGTTCCCAGGGCTGAAGAGTTGGCCAAGGACTTTCAATACGGAGTCAGTGTGTGGCTGCAGGGCTTGGAGAGCCATAGGAATATTTTCCCCAGCCAGCTTTGAGTGTAATTTCAGATGGGAAACCCCCTTGTCTGGAATTTCTCTTCTCCAAAAGTATTCTGAGGGCTGTCTGAAATCCCTGGATGTTTCAACCTGAGCTCCTGGGGGTTTCCCGATCCTGCCACGCTGCAGTGGGGGAGTTATAAAAACGGGATGAAAAAATATTTCCTTATGTCTGACACCCTCCCCCAAAACGCTTTGGGCCTTAGAAGCTGAGGGATGGGTAAAAATGCACCTTAATGCTGCAAGGAGAGATGCAGAAAGTCGGCTCCTGAATCCCAAATTTCACAGGGAGCCATCCCTCCTGCTCCAACAATGCTGCCTGGCAGGAACCCGCCTGCAGAACCATGGAAAACCCTGCAGCAGGCAGGGAGGAGGAGGAGGAGGAAGAGAAGGAGGAGGAGACTGGGGTCTCATCCCTCTGGCAGTGACCCTGAACAGAAACATGAGCAGAAGATGCAGGAACAATAGAGAAAACAGGATGAAACCGGCCCAATCCGCAGGGATCCGGTGGCTGGGAAGGCGGTTATGAAACACAGATGGGGAGAAGCGAGGCGTGCGGCTGGAGACCACAGACAAGGGAAAACTTGGAAGCAGCATTCCTCTGTGTGGAGCACTGAGTGGCCACCAAGGGTTTGGACTCTCTGAGCCAAAGCCACTGGAGCACCTTGGACCAGTGGTGGGGAAGAAGTGACCACCTGGGTGTGGATCTGCACAACTCCATGCTGGAAGCACGGATCCACAATGCCCTGGGCTGGTGCTGAGCCAGACAGGGAGATTTTCCCAAAAAAAACCCCTCCTCCCTGGAGGTTCTGGGGAGCAGCATGAGTACATCTGGAGCTGAAGCGTGCGAGCTCAGCCTGCTCCTCCTTGCTCTCTGAGCCAGGATCCCAGGCCAGATGGATCCTGGTGGGCCTGGTGCAGCTGTCTTGAGGAGACCCCGGATCCTGGCAGGCGCTACTCCGGCTCCATCCATCTCCTGTCAAGTGCTGTGACTCCCCAGGAATTCCTGGCAGATGTCTGACCCAGATAAGGGACCACACAGTGCCTGGCTGCTGATCCTGTGTGCTGTCACCCTCCCCGAAGGAACAACTGCCTCCTCTGGGCTTTGGGATCTCTTCCCAAAGGAGTGGGAGCTCCCTGCTTCTCTGGGTGACTGAATCACCGACAGCAAGTGAACAACTACGGGTACAAAATGCAGAGGAAAAGTGTTCTGCAGGTTTTCCTCTGAGATTTCCACATTAGTTGCTTTATGGTACAAGGAGTAGAAAGGTCCTGGGCACTGGGTTTTTATCCCATCATTGTGCTGCTGTCCCCAGCTCAGCTGGGCTCCTTGGGCTCTTCATAGAATCACAGAGTTGTTTGGGGTGGAAAAGCTCTCTAAGATCATCCAGTCCAACTGTTCCCCCAGCACTGCCAAGGCCACCACTGACCCACGTCCCCAAGTGCCACATCCACACGGCTTTTAAGTCCCGCCAGGGATGGGGACTCCACCACTGCCCTGGGAAGCTGTGCCAATGTCCAACCTGGCATCTCTGGGTGAAGAAATTTTCCGTCAGATCCCATCTAAACCTCCCCTGGCCCAGCCTGAGCTGTTCCCTCTCCTCCTGTCCCTGTTCCCTGCGAGCAGAGCCCGACCCCCCCGGCTGTCCCCTCCTGGCAGGGAGTTGTGCAGAGCCACAAGGGCCCCCTGAGCCTCCTTTTCTCCAGGCTGAGCCCCTTTCCCAGCTCCCTCAGCCTCTCCTGGGGCTCCAGAGCCTTCCCCAGCTCCATTCCTTTCTCTGAACACAGAACCCAACCACTGTGCTGGATCCTGGCAGGTCTGAATGAAGAAGGAAATAGCCATAAAAAAAAAAGGCTTTTTAGGGGCTGTGTGCTCTGCACATGCCAGAGACTTTGAGCAGCTCCAGGCTGGGCAGGGATGAGCCCTGGATGACCCACAGCAAAGCACAGAGAGAGGATGCTGCAGACCTGACCCACAGTGAGGGTGCCATTGCTCAGCTCAGCATCCTTCTGCACAGGGTTTCATGGGACTTAAGGCAACATGAGTTTATCACTTTCATTAATTCACCAGAGATCAGACACGAAGAGCTGCCTGCAAAATCTCATTTCCTTGTTCTTCCTTTTTTATCTGTAATTTTGCTGAGCAGAGACAGCAGCCAGGAGGGACCTGAGCGATTTGCAGCAGCAGAACAGCTCGAGATTCACCTGATCAGTGCACAAGGCAATGATGATTTTTGTTGTGGAATTCCTACTGGACTCTTGTTCTGAGCCAATCCAATTAAAAATGTCACTTTTTCTCCACTTGGAGTGGACAGCACGGCCTGTATTGACACAGCTGCAAAGCACAGCCCATGTCCTCTCCTTCCCCAGCACATCTTTTATTTAATGCTGTCAGCTCTGTGATTTGGGGTGAATACACCTGATATTGGCTCTTCCACACTCTGGATACCTCCCAGGGATGTGGGGAGAGCTGCAGGGGCTGCTCTGATCCAGAGCAGGAGATGAGAACCAGGGCCTGAGGGTGGTGTCATGACTGTTTGGCAAATATTTGGAGATGTGGAGTTATGGGAAAGGAGGGAGAGGAAGGGCTGTGTTGATGCTGCACCCATGGGAAAGCCAGGAGCTGCTGTTACCTGCACAGAACCCCCACAGATGGAAGCAGAGCCCTGGAGGGGACCACCCTCTATTCCTGTTGGTCTCTCTGCCCTTGCAGGTGGGTGATCCTCATCCTGTTGTCCTCCTACAATGCTTCCCAAACCCCACCAAAACTCAGACTTTTATATCCCAGACAAGCTGAGATTACAGAGCAGCTTCCATGGAGGGGGATGCTCCTGGGACACTGGCACAGCTAAAATCCACAGCACGGCAAAACCCTCCCCAATGGGGGCTGGAGGTTCCTGTTTTGGTTCTGTTCTGCCAATAAAAGAGCTGAGGGAGGAGGTCTGAAGAGCCATTTGTAGAGTCTCTCTAGGGTTTTGGGCTATAAAGGGATCACTGGATGACCTAATCCAACTCCCCATCTATCATGGGTTGCTAAATAGCACCTCGGGAACAGGAGCCAAAATGTCTCGTCCAGAAAGGTCCTCGGTCTTGATTTAAAGACGTGAAGAGAAGGAGGACTTGCCACTTCCTTGCTGGCTTCTCTCACCGGTTACTCACCCTCTCTCTCTCTTACAACACGCCTCCAGCTTCTAAATTTAAAGATTTTCTGGCTTGACCTTCCAGACATTACTCCTTGTTATTCCTTCTTTGGGGCATAACACACCCCGTGAGTGCCCAGGAAAATACTCTCCAAGTCCAAACACCTCTTCAGTTTTCTAAGTGACCCATATGGACTCAAGCTCCACCTGAGCAAAACAAGTCCTTGAGTCCTCTGAACACCTCTGGTCTATTTTCATACACCTTCAAAACATAATTTTCATAATTGTGGGAAAAAAAAAAATGACATGATGCCCAAGCAGCCCAAATCACCCCTTGGTAAACCTGGCTTTGGGCTCATCTGCATGTTTTATGAGGTTTTGCTTCATCCAGAGCTGAAAATGGGTGGAAATTATCAAGTATTTAGACAGTTGACACTGAAATCTCGCTTCCCTGGCCTACAAGAGCAGGGTAAAATATTTTTAACACCCTCTGGATAGATAACCTGGTGGGCCAGCTGATGTGGTGCAAGGAGAGACTGGCTGCCTGGTTTACAGGAACACAGGGAAGGGATGTGATGGATGCACAGCTTGCAGGGAACTGGGGCCAGCTGGAAAGACAGAGGGGAAGGAAAGGGCATGGAAAAGCTGGAGAGGAGAGCTCTGGAAATGCAGAATTTTGGCTGCCACTGCTGGCAGAGTGATGACCTCTGCTCCCAGGCACAGGTGGAAGCACAGCCAGCTCCCCATACTGGATTATCAGCACAACTCATCTCCATCACCACCTCCATTCTCAGGCACTGTGTATTTTCCCCAGTTGCCTCATTTCACCCCCGTCAGGAAGAGTTTCTCCTCTCAATTAGCAGCCCAATAATCTCCCCAATGGCCCATAAAATAATTAAAAGAAGCCCCAAACTGGAACAACCTTTAACCCTGCTGTCCCCCTACCCCATTGCTCAGATTAACACATCAACTCTGCATCATTAATCTCCAAACTGTGCTGTTGAAGGAGCAATTTGTGTTCAATAACCAACAGAGCAGGTATTAAACATTCCTTAGGCACGCAGGACACGGGTTACTCATTACAAAGGGAAATGTGTTGAAACATTAAGCAGAAAGCAGAGACCATAAAACATCCCTTTCCAGGTTTTTAGAGAAGCTGACCACAATTCCATAACTTTTTTAGCAAATGTGTATCTCCTGGTTTTAAGTGGATAATGTCATTGATTTGTGGGACATCAGGTTGACATAAGATGTGTCAAGGAAATTGGTGCCGCCAAGGAAATAAGGTGCTGCCATCCTCTTTTTGGGATGGAGGGATCAGTGATGGGGCTGGAGGCAGGGAAGCTCTTGGGGAACATTCCCTTACAACATTCCCTTACCTGATCAAGTAGCAACAGAAGAGCAAACTGAGGATGAAGACGAAGATGGCCGTGCCGAAAACCACGATGTATATGTTGAGAGGAAGGTTCTGGAACCCGATGTTCGGCATCCTGAAACTGTAATGCTGGAAGTCTGAGCTCATGGGTAGGCTGTGGAGACAGGGAGAAAACACATGGATCCTTAGGGATGCACTTTGCAGACCAGTGGTCCCTTGAATGGAGATGACTTCTCACTCATCCCCCCTCCTTGCTCAAAACCAAGTTCCCATCTTGGGAACACCGAAAACAAAGCAGGGCTGGATCAGCTGGGGCTGGGATTTTCCTTCTCCCACTCTGAGCTTCTCCTCCAGCTCTTTTCCTTTCACACATCATCATTCAAGTTAAACACTGGATGAGATGGACGGTGGGAATTGCACCCGAGCAGCCCCAGCTGCAGCCAGCGTCCCTCAAACCCCGCAGTAACTTGGTAAAAATACTGAAAGCAGCCAGGAAGCCTTGGAGGAAGGTAAGTTTGCCTTCCCTTCCCCTCCAGTGGTTTCTGACTCCTCATTCCATAGAAATCCTCCACCAAACTCATCAAAGATGAAAAGGAAGAGGACAAGGACAGCCAGGACACACAGCTGCACCGCTGGGAGAAATTAAGGGGAGCCTATGGACTCTGTAAAGGAGGCTTTGTTTGTTTTTCCCATCTGAGATGCAGGTTTGGTGGTTTAAGAGAACTTCTGCAGATTTCAGCTTTACTCCTCAGCACAGCCCCAGGCTCCTTCCCCCCAGGAAAGCCCCGAGGCACCAGCAAGCAGCGGCCAAGAGGAAGAGGCAGCAATTTTGGCTGTCACATCCCTTGTCTGGGACCCATGACCAAAACCTCCCTCCCCTTGGAGAGCCCAAATTAAACCCTGAGCAGATGCCTGGGATAACAACTTCAGCAAATCCTCTCCCCCAGGATTTTAACAGCACTTATTTATGATCTCTTATCTTCCTATCATCCTCTGAACCCGTTCGCCCTCCGATGATCACAACCGTTGCTGGCCAGCCATAAAATTCCCCTGCCCCCAGCTTAGAAAAGGAAGTTCAAAATACACCTTGTTTTCCTTTCTGCCCACAGGAGAGCAACGTGTGCTGGAGTTTTACAAGCAAGGAAAGTACCTGCAGCCTGAGCCCTGTTTCCCAAATAAAATCACTGAGGGATAACAAAACCCTCCCCTGGAGCGGGGAGTTTTCCACGGCGCAGTAATTGCACAGCTCCTCATTTTGCACAGGGTGGGAAGACAGTGGGGAAACCGCAGGATCTGAACCCACACATGCCAGGGAGCAATACTGCAAAATCCAAGTGTCCTCTGAGTGTCTCTCCAAGCAGCACCCCCGAATCTCCTTTCCCCCTTGAGGCCCCGCTTTTGCTGAACCCTGTAGGCTTTCCTCTGACTTCCCACGGGGAGCAGACTCACCTCTCATCCCGGCTGCCTCACCGGGACTATCCCCTTGCTGAAGGCAACATCCCTGCCAGCCCCAAACACCCGCCCGGGAGCCTCCTTGCACCGGCTGCTTTCAGTTTCCTCAGCTCGCTGGAAGTTTCGAGGCGATTTCTGGTAAAGCCTGGATTTGATTAAAGCCTCCAGAGAGTAACACGCATGTTCAGAGCCTCTCCCGGCCAACGTGGAAACGCTACGAGAGCTCGGGGAGCCAGCACATCCCCCTGCCAGCGCTGGTGGGGATGGGATTTTATAGCCCAGCAACCGCCCGGCAGCTCACGCTCCTCCACCGACGCCTGTTCCGCTCAGCTGAGCTGGTTTGCTTTGCAAATAAATTAAAAAAAGCCCAATCCAGCCCCCAAACCTTTGTTCCCAGCTCTGGCGGAGTTAATGCGCAGCTCGGCGTCGCAGGGCTGGGTTTGGGTTTCAGTCCTGCCGGGTCAGAGGGATTTGGGATGGTTCAAGGGCTCCCCTCGGTCACGCTGGTGGCATGAGGGTGTTTCAGCTGGAGGACCGTGCAGATACTCACTGCCTTTGGGCAAGGCTGGCTGCCTCCAGCTCCTCAACTGTCTGAGAGAAATGCCCTCCGTCCTCCATCCAGGAAAGCTCCAGGAGACTCCAAGACAACTCTTGGAGGACAGGCAACAAAACCAACCAGCACTGGACTGTTGTTTTTCATTCCTTTCTAAGTCTTTTAACTTGTGATGCTCTTCTCAGCAATCCCACTAAGAGATTCCGTGGGTAAGGAACATCCAAGGCTGCATTTGGGGGCAGCAAGTCCCATCAAGCCAGAAAAATTCCCCATGCTCGCATGCACCTGAGCTGTGCCGCTCTTGCACCAGTCCCCACATCCATGAGCACAGCTAGAAACCATCACAGCCCTCAGCAAATAAACAGTCAGCAGAAACAGAGCTCAGACCAACTCCCAGCATGCCACTATCCTCTTCCAATGGAATCATTTCCCTAATATTTTGCCCTAAAAGCGTGTCATGAACACAGCCATGACCTACCTGCCAGCCATGTCGTGGGGGCTCAGCCTCCTGGGGCCAACCCTTCCGTCCCCTGAGGTGCAAATCCAGGGAATCCCACACCAGATTCATCCAACCCCCGTGTGAAATAACCTCCACATTGGAGCTGCCCTGGTCCTTCCTCCCTCCTGCTGCAACAGCTGAGAAATGTTACAGCACAAAACACGGAGGTTAAAGGGGAAAAATCAGTTTGTCTGCCCGGGATCCAGGAAACTGTTAACTTTAAAAGACTCCAGTGAAATCTGATGATTTCAAACAGCCAAGCTTTGGGGTTGTTTTTTTTTAAGGGGAGTAGGGGGGGAGGAACTGTATTTTAAGCTGCTTCAGATTTGCAAAGGCGCAGCCAAAAGAAATAAAAAAGAAGCCGTAAGGAAGGATGAAAAGTTTCTGGTGCAGAACAAAAGCCTCCCTGTTGCTCTCTCCATGGTCAAGGCATCTCAGAGCAGGGAGATGATGCCTGTGGGGGATCCATGGCTCCCAATAGGTCCCTAAAACCCCTGGGATGGGGGACACAGGCTGCCCATAGAAAAGGGGGCACTGGCACAGGTTGTCCAGAGAAGCTGTGGCTGTTCCATCCCTGGAAGTGTTCAAGACCAGCTAGGATGGGGCTTGGAGCTACCTGGGATAGTGGAAGGTGTCCCAGCCCATGGCAGGGGAGTGGAACTGGAGGGTCTTTAAGGTCCCTTCCAACCCAAATCATTCCGTGGTTCTGTAATTCCACGATTCTGTGAAAAATAGCAAGGAACAATGGTTCCTCGTTCTGGGATGCAGAGAGCCACAATGGCAGAGCAACCTGAGCTCCACATCTCCTTCCTTACACCCTCCAATGACTCAGCAACGTGGGGCCAAGCACATCCACAATTTTCTCCAAGGAGGACAAAACCCAGCTTTAATTAAAAGCCAAGTGCTGGTTAATGGCCCATCGAGCAGCCAGAAAAGGAGTGTTACAGGTCAGCTCAGCTCGTTGATTACAGTTGGGCTGTGAAAGGTAAACCTCAGGAAGCCACGTCCCAAATTAATTCCCATTAGAGCCGCAGCAAACCTTGAATACGTGGGGCCAACCTCGTACCCAGAGCGTTCCTCAGGAGATCTCACAGGGATTAATAAAGGATGCAATTGTCTTCTCATAGGTGGAGAAACTGAGGCAGGGAGGAGGAGGGGAGCAAGGCAGAGCTGTGGTGGTCCCTGAAGCCAGGGGGTGACACCAGGGATGCCACTTTAAGTAATGCCATGGGCTGAAAACTGCAGATTTTTGCTTTCCTGCTGCTTTGCCACATGGATTTGAACTGTGTGCTCCTTTTCGGGGTTTTACTTATTAAAAGGAGCTGCTTGTCCTTTTATATAAAAAAAATTATTATTATTTATTTATAACATCAGTGCATAAAGGGGCCATGCATGGGCTGCGCATCCTCACACCTAAATACAGCCCACAAGCTGGGTGGAGCCGTGGCTTCTGCCTCTGCTGTTGTAAATAAACTCCTGTTTTTAGAGGGATTTACTTTATGTTTTCAAGACAAACAACTTGCTCCACAGGGGTTCAAAGCAAGCTCAGACTGAATCTCCTCAGCCATTAACTGGGCAAACTGGATGGAGCTGGTGGTCCGGGCATCCCACCAGCCAGGCTGGCAAAGCCGACCTATCTCCAGGAAATCCTGAGCTTCAAACACCCAGCAGAGCCAGACACAGGCAGGCTTGAAATCACAAATCTCAGGGAAAAGTGAATGCTAAGCCGTGGCCAAACTCCAAGCTGAAGTATTTTATCGATGGGAAAGGTTTCAAGCGGGCGTGAACGGCGTCTCGAGTTTCAAAGGCGTTTCGCAACGTGTTTCAGACAGGTTTAATCAAAAGCGTTATTAACTCGGTTGAAAGTTAAACTGGGAGCAGCTGACAAGACCTTTCTGAAACAGCCCAAGTTGTGTTGCAAAGCAGGGTATTCTTCCATGGAATAATTCTACAAGAGGAAGGTTATTTAATGGCTATGACTAACGGGATAATATTTAAAAGATTCTTCCAGGTGCTAAGAAGCAGCAGCCAGAGACACCCTCATTTAACTTGCAGGCAAAAAAATCCCCCTCGTGGACCCCAGAAGCAAAGCTAAGCCCTGACCTCAAGCAGCTGGAAGGAATTTCCTTCAGCTCCGTCTCTGGAGCTGGTCCAGCGCCAGGATCCGCAGCGTGGCAATGGGAAAATCGCAGGCAGCTGCAGAGCCAAGCCCAAACCAGCATCACTGTCGCCCCAGAGATGCCACACAGCTGCATCACCTTGGCCTGGCGTGGAGTGGGGGAAAACTCAGCACTGCTCTGGCCTTTGCTGTCCAAAGGAACAACAGGAATGGAGCATGTGGGGTAAACAAAAAACTCTTGGCATGATGCAGTTTCAAAGAGCTAAGATGCTACACCATGGGGATGTCACATCCAGCACCAGCTCTGAGCATCCAACCTGGCCCAGAGCCTTCACTCCACAAACCTGGCAGGCAATGGAGGAGTGTGAGGGATGGTGCAAGGCTTGGCAGGGTTACTGATTAGTGGGATTCATGTGCTGGGAAGAGGGAACATCCCAACAGGTCCCTCACACCACAGGCAGAGTTGTACCAGGATCCAGCAAAGCTTGGCTGGGGTGATGCAGCACCATCACAGCAACAGGAAGAACTTTTGGGTGTCAAATGGAACAAAAACCCATTTGTTTCACCCATTTTGGCTGCATGCAGACTTGGGGGTGGTGGTGGGTTTTTGTTCTGTGCCTGGACATCCAAGGAACCAAACTGACCTCCAAGCACAAAGTGCTTCAGACCTTTGATCCCTCCTCCCTGAGAGTGGATCCGATGCTTTTTCTGAACTGGAATCAGGAAATTTCCTGGCTGTGTTCCCCAGCTGGCTGACACCAAACACAAAACCTTAACCCTCTCCACTGCCTCTGGGCAGGGGACACAGAAAGTGATGTGATAACATGACAAAGCAATTGGAAAAAAATAGGAAAGTCTAAGGAAAGCAACATCCAGCAGCACGACTGTACTGCTGCAATTTCCAGCGAGTCCTTCTGATTCCAGACAGTTTAAGAAACAATTAATCCCAGAACTTTAAAACTGAAGAGAACCTTTAAGTGGGAAAATGTTTTTGCTACCACTGGCAGAGAAACGTGCAGAAATGGGTCAGCTGCGGCTCCCATCACCCACTGTAAAGTCAAATTCTCTCTCCCAGCGCTGTTGGAAAAGCAAACCAGAGGTTTGCTCAGGGCTGATTTTGCAAGTTCCAGGAAAACAGGCAAAAATAAATAGAAAAAAAATAAAATCAATAGCACTATTTAATACAGTCTGGAGGAGGGGGAAGCAGAGTTTGGAGGAGAGCCCTGCTTGAGCTCCCATCAGGAATGAGAGCTGGGAATCACTTCCCAGGAGGGTTTGAAGCACAGCTGGCAGCACCTCTCTCACAAAGGCTCACAGGAGCTGCCCAAGGACAGCTCAACTCACTGCTCAGAGATGAAATAACACTTGAGGAATTTTTCCCCTTTGGCCTTGGGGATTTGTAATTATTTTTTCCCCCCCTTTTCCTGGCACACAGCTCCAACGTCATGACCTGGTGAGCTCACTCTTCCTCCCAAAAGTGTGGTGGGAAAGGATGTGCTGCTGCCTCCTCCTGCCCCCAGCCTTCTTTGTACTCCTGAGGTGAAAAAAGAAGGCAGGAGCCACCACTTCCCATTATGGGCTGATGGTGGTGGGACACACATTATTAAATTTGGGTGTATTTTAGCCCAGAAAGAGCAATGAGAGCACAGGCAAGTGGGAATAACCTCCCACCTTCATTTGTAGTTGCTTTTCCTCATTTGCAGTGTTCCCCAACAAACAGGTTCCTTGGGGAACGCAAATTGGAAACTCCATGAGAAACACTCAGCCTAAGCAGCTGAAGGGTCAGAGCAGAGAAATTGGTGTTAAACACTCCAGGGAATTTGAAAATTCCTGGGTGATGACACAGAGCTGTGGGAATCAATGGAGACTCCCAAAATACCACATCTGGATGAAAAAAAAATAAAAAATCACACTTTGATCATCTTCAGACTGAACCAAAACCAATCACATTCCATGGAGCCAAAGAGCAACTTGCCCTCTCCAGTCTAATATTGAGAAGCAGATGGATTAAACAACTTCCTGAAACCTTTTTTCCCCACATTTCCTAAGCTCCTTTAATGAGGGAAAAAAATAATAATCAGTGCAACACACAGTGATCAATAATCCTAGGAAATCCTGCTGCAGATGAGCACTCAGGACCAGTGATGGGATCACAGCTGCCAGCAGCCGTCCTATGAAGGCAGTCAGAGGAGCCAAGCACAATTTGGGAACAGGAAGGCAGAATGATCTCGTTTACACTAAATAAGGTTGCTAGGTTATGGATTTTTGGGAGTGGGGGGGGGACACAATCTGAAAGGGGATCCAGATGGCTGTAAAGCCTTGTGGTGGAAAAGCAGCATGAGGCCAGAGAGGGAAGAATTCCTCTTTATGCTGCTGCTCTCTGCTCCTGGATCCTGGGTTTCAGTCCTCAGGAATGCACACCATGGACCCTTTTAATTACACCATTTATATCTGAGGTAAAAACTAAGAAGAGGTAGTTGGATGGAGAAGAGTGAAAAAGCTGGTGACTGGATACCAGGGAAATAAAAGTCCCTAAATAAACCCCACGGAGCAGCTGTTCCCCCAAGCCCACTTTGATCCGGTCAGGTTTGTATTTTACAATCCTGACAGCCTGAAAAAGGCTTCAGGAAATCCCAGACAATCCTAAACCCCAGCCTGCTGGGAATTCACACCAATGCCACGTCACTGCCGTTTCCAACTTTTCCTAATACTTCCAAAAAATGAACTGCACAGTCAGTCCACCCCTTTCCTGGTTTTGACTCAAGTACTGGGATTTAGGGGAGTGTTTTTTTTATCATTCCTTCTCCCTTGCTAACAGAGACTGGGATGGTTTTGCAACACTTCATAGAGTCCAGCAAAAAAAAAACTCTGGGACTCATATTGAAACAGGACAAGAACTGCTTCACCTCTACGGGACTGGCAAAAGAAAGGTGGCTGCAAGGATGGAAAACCCCAGAAAATTTAGTTGGAAATGGAAAATGGAACTTTTCCACAGCCAGACTTGCACAGCCAAGTGAGGTGCTTGGAGAAAAACATTCACCAACCAACAAATGCATCTCCTCCTCTGTCACAGAGTCTCAGCACTGAGGGTGATGCCATGGGGTATCATCCTTCTTCTCCATTCTCCTGGAACTGTGGTGTATCCTTAAGTGAGATGCAGAAAATGAAGGGACCTTAGTGAAGCACTGGCACAGGTTGTTTATGTGGATCGCCTATCCCTGGAAATGTTCAAGGCCAGGTTGGAGCAACCTGGTTTAGTGGAATGAGATGGTCTTGAACCATTCCATGATTCTGTGATTCTAAAATCCAGGTGTACCCATGCCCCAGGGGTCTGTAACCAGGAGGTGATGGACAACAAGGTGTAAATTTTCAACATCACCTGCCCACACCTCTCCTTTGCTCAGGGATGCTGCTTCTTACAGGGGTTCCTGTAAAAACTGTGAACTGAGCCCTAAATAAGCAAAACCCCAATTTACAACTGTGCTGCTGATGCAGAACTTGTTAAAAAAAAAAAAAAAAAAAAAAGCAAAGCAAACCAAACACCTTTTGTGAGAGTTACATGAAATTTACATTTTTCTTACAGCTGACTGAACAAAACCTGCTAAATATCTTCCGAGTGCTTCACGGCTACAAAGCTAAAAACCAGCAGTGGGAATTTCAGGCGTGTAACAGTTTACTGTTGGATCTCCACAAATTCCCGGGTGCCGAATCGCCTACTAGAAGGGAAAATATATGAGTGGCACTAAGGAGGTGGCTTAGCAACGAGCAGGCTGGCAGCTTTGAGTGGCTTTTTAAAGGTCAAGCGAAAACATGATGTCTGGAGCCCTCATGTTCCATTTTTTTTACTTCAATTTAATGATAGTTCTGGCCAGCCCGGTTATTAAATCTCCACCTCACACCAGCCAGTCACACATCTGTTAAACCCAAGCTTTAAATTAAGACTTTCCCTATCTAAATATCCCCTTTCAACCCATTCCCACCTTCACCAAAGTGGGGGGTAAAAACTTTGTCGGGGTGAAACACAAGGAGAGGTCCCATCACCGAGGGGATTTTTGGGAAGTGCCACTGAGCAGCATCATTGAAATTCAGTGGGAGAAGCCGGTTTTCCTCAGCTCCACGGGGGCTGCCATGTTAAATCACATTTGGATTCACAGTACAAGGCTGCTAAAATACCACCGCGGCGCCTATTGGCACATTTCAATGAAATCGCCGTGGCCTCATTAGTAGAGTGGAAATTATGAGCTTGTCTTTGTATATATTTAAAAGCTTGCCTCTGAAACTCTGCTGGGTAAGGGCCAGGAATTCCTGGCTCTGAGCTCCTACCAGTCGGCAGTTCGGGATCGCTTTGCTTCAACAGGTCAAGCGACCACGCGACCCGGGAGAAAAAGCGTTTAAAAACTGCCCTGAGGGGAGAGGCAACAGGGTTTGAACTAAACCCTCCTCCCTGTCAGCTCCCTTCAAGCTGCTTAGGGAGCAAGTCCTAATGAAAGTGCAGGTTGTAATTAAGAGGATGCAGGAATGTGGGTGTGTGGAGGTTCATCCTGCTCCCAACAGTTGGGGTGAGAGCATCCCGTCGGCCCAGAAGCGCCGTTCCCCTCTGGGGATGGACCACAAAAGCCCAAATCCTTTGAAATGAGGGGCAAACTCATGAATTAACATGTTTTTTTTGGGATCTGGTCCTTTCAAGATGGGAATTTGCAAGTCTCTGTGAAGGAAAACTTTGGGCTCAGCTCCCTACTTACCTGCACGGGTGCCGCAATGCAGCCAAGCCACGCAAACCCAACGTATCTGCTTGAACAGCTACCGCAGTTGGGTGCCAGGGATGCTGGAAGAAAAGAGAAAAACACCCTAAAAATTGCACAAAAATCCAGAGGGAGCAAGGGAGAGGATGAAGACATGGTTTTTAAATGCTTGGATTCGCAGAGGCTCCCAGAAATTGCTTCAGCTCTTGGAAACAGCACAGAGATGCCCTTCTAAAATGCAGCGATGATGTTACGTGGCACAGAAAGAATAGGGGGGGAGGCTTGGCTAATCCTCACAATTTTATAAGCATCTGAGACACTAATCCGTTGATCTCATTGAAAGGGATTAGAATTACTCCCTTGCCAGGAAATTTAAGAAGTTTTCTACCAGATGTAAACAAAAGCACGGAGCAGCCCGCAGAGACGGCTGCCACACAGCGAGTCCTCACAGAGAAATCAGCATCGGGGCTGGTTTTGGGGTGGAAAAGGGGCATTTCCAGCTCAATGCTGCAGAGGGTTGTCTGGAGTGATGTGGGTATCCAAGGGAAGCCTGATCAGTCCATCCACAGTAGGTTCAAGACAGGATCCCATCCTGGGCAAGCAACCTGCCAAGGCTTCACAACTCATCTTTGGGCTCTAACTCTTATAGAAATGGACTCTTCAGCTAAAAAAAAATCTGTCCCAACCACCTGACTTGTTCTGTATTGGTCTAGGAAAACATCATTTTAATAATAAGAAAAAAGAGAAAAATCTCTGAGCCACAAAACCCAAGTTGTGCCCAGCTATGAGCAGCCTTTATCCACACAGCTCTGTGGCAAGGACGTGGGTTAATAAGGAAAATATAACACAGCACACTCATGGAAACAGACTGGGATCTCCTGCTACCCTCACCATGAGCGATTCATAATATTGAAGAATAAATTATTTGATTTAGAAGATGAAGCAGGCAATGTGCAATCTGGGTTTTGATATCAAGCAGTTTGCTACTAAGTTGGGTGTTCCAGCTCGGAACATCAATAGCTGAGATAGATCAAACCTAAAGGAAGCAGAAAGGATTCAGGAGATCCTTTGAAGAGAAGCAACTTTTGTTAGAAAACAGAAGTTTTCTAAGAAAGAAACTAAACTTTTGTCAGCGCTTACTTCTTTCCTCTTTTAAATTCCATCCAAAAAAGAAACCTAAAGAGGCTCAAGTTCCAACCTCAGTGTGAACAAGGCCTCAATTTCATCTGCTTGTCTTAAAAACCCTCCTTTTGGAGGTGCCTGATTGGACAGCAGCATAATCCCTCTTCTCCTGCCCATTTTTCTTCAGGACCATATTGTGATACACAGCATGAATAAATTCGTGCTAAAGTTATAATCTTGTCTGACAAGAATCCTAGCATATTTCCAGGAAACCTTCCCTGACCAGATTATAGTGATATGCAGCAAGGCCAACATGAATATTCGTCTGCAAGGGGCATATTTCCAAGAAACCGCTGTCCAATAAGATTGTAACGAGATGCATTCATAAACATTCGTCTGCAAGAAGTGTATTTCCAAGAAACCCAACGAAATTACAACACAGACACCCAAAACCAGCATGAATATTTTTCTGCAAACAGTGTATTCCACAGGACCCCCAAAGAGCCTGAAAACATATAAAAAGCACCTTGGGACAGGTGCAGTTTGTGAAGCATGGTGGGGAAGTGCTGCAGTAGCCTCCTCCCTGTATCACCCGGTGCTGTTCGCCTGGCACAGCACTGAACTCATTTTTGCTTATTGTTTCCTTTTTACGATTGTAATTTGATTATAAATTTCTTCTTTTCATTAATCACATTGGCTAATCATTTATAATAGTATCATTTTTAGTCTTTAGGCACAAGTACTTGCTTGGCTTTGGGAAAACACCCACTCTTCCCATGCAGTCCCATCTCCTCACTCCTTGCAACACTCCTGCTCCCAGCTTTAGTGTCCAAGGCTGGAATAAAGCACCTGATGTCAGGCTTGTCTCCAGCTCCATCCCTCTCACCTGGCTGCAACACATCCCAGGTCTTTCCCATCACCTCCTTGACCTGTTCCTCCTGCTGCATCACTGGCAGCTCCATGGGGAAGATGCTTCAGGAGAAGGAGGATACAAGGAGGAAGCCCCAAGAACGGTCAGAAGCTCAGGACAACTCAGCATTCCTCAGGCAAAGCAACAGCTGAGAAAATGATCCATTTTTCCTGCTTTTACTCCCAAAGTGCCGCCCCCAACCAGTGCTCAGCACAACAGTGAGGGTGTTTTGGTGTGAATGCCAAGCAAGACTGGGGTGCAGGGCTGAGCTGAAAGACACCCAACCCACACGAGCACCACCAGACAGGCTCCAGCCAGCTCATCCCAATTTATTCAGCCCTCAAACCACCACCACACAATCCCATCCCACTTCAGACGGCCACCACTGCCACAGCCTCCAAAAGCCTTATCTTTTATCTCACTCGCCAAGAGAGCAAAACACCGAGTTGTCATCCAAAACTTCTCAACTAAAAAGCGAAAGAAAAACCCCAACCCCGCAGCTGCGTTTGAACAGAGCCAGGAAATCGCCTTGGGGGAAGCCCAGCGACGGGTTTTTAGAGGGAACAATAAGAAAATGGGAGTTGCTAAAGCGACGAGGAAATATCTGCCTGAAAATATCAGCCTGCTCAGGACAAAGCTCTTCGTGGAAAGAAGTTTAACTCGATCCTTACAATACGCTGGCGAATGCGATTTAATTCCGAGAGCCCCGGTCAGTGGGAGGCACGATCCACTCGGGTGGATTTGTTGTAGCTGAAGTTGGGTTGAAGACTGATCCCTCCCCACCCAGTCTGGATGGGTCATTTGGCTTCAGCCACTTTCTTACCTGCCAGGCTGCTCCTCCTGGATTTCAATGGACCAATGGAAGAGCTGAAATGCCCTGGTTCCACGCCTGGGAAGCTGCACAGCTACAGAGCTCTCCTATTTCCCCCAAAATACTCCAGTGAGGCAAGAAGCTGGGAAACCCGAAAGGATGAGCGACAGAGGGAGGGCTGGAATCAAGAGGGCTGGAATCAGGAGGGCTGGAATCAGGATGGCAGCTGCCTCCTGCTCAGCACTTTCAGTTTCTCTCTCCAAGCGCTCTCCTGGCGCGACTTCCTCTAAAGCGCTTTGCGACTGAAAAGCTGCATTAGCGGCGGGATTAATCCTCTGAGGGGATAATAAAATCACAGAATCATGGAATCGTTCAGGTTGGAAAAGCCCTCTAAGGCCACCAAGTCCAACTGCTAACCCAGCACTGCCAAGGCCTCTACTAACCCATGTCCCCAAGTGCCACTTCTACACTGCTTTTAAATCCCTCCAGGGACGGTGACTCCAGCCCCTTCCACGAAAATGTGGAGTCAAAGGCCTTGCCAAAGTCCAGACAGACACACCCACAGCCTCTCCCTCATCCAACAAAGCAGGTCACCTTGTCATGGAAGGAGATCAGGCTGGTCAGGCAGGACCTGCCTGTCACAAACTCACACTGGCTGCCCCAGATCGTCTGATTGCCCTGTTGGTGATGCATGAGGACACTCAGGTTATCTGCTCCTGTCACTTGACTGACAGCCCTGTAGTTCCCAAAATCCTCCTTCCTGCCCTTCTTGTAGCTGTGTTTCACATTTGCTCGCTTCCAGTCAGCTGGGACCTCCCAGTTAGCCGGGGCTGCTGGTAAATCATGGAAAGTTATCCCCATCCATTGCAGCAATCCATTTGTTTGAGTCATCCCACATGACTCTGTGCTGGCAATGATGTCACAGCTTTCCTGATGCACAGTGGCTTCCAGCTCCTTCTCCTGCTGGTGACCACGCAGTGAGCATTGGTGCAGCTGCACTTCAGTTGGGTTATCAATCCCACCACCTTCTTGGAGAAGTCTCATTCTTGGTCATCCTGCATGACCATTCTCAGGGCTTTCATGGTTTCCAACACATCAATAACCCTTATGGTGTGCTGCCACACGGATCTCCATCCCCTGCCTCCATGGAGACAGCACACTGAAGAACCTGGCTAGCACACTGTCCCTCAAACATTGGGGTGGGCCTCCATGACTACCCCATGCAAAGATCCTTTTCCCCCTTGGAGCCAGAACTCCAGCTGTCAGCAGTCCTGGTGTCTTGCAAACCCGCCCAAAAACAAAACTAAAGCCAAAATACGCCTGGAGAAGTCATTCCTGCTTGCTTCTCACACTCACAGCCCTGGAGAAGAAAAAGCAGGACATCCCTGCCTAGGCTTCCTGCCACCCTGCCCTCCCTGGTTTGTCTCTGCTTTTTCCACAGCCTGATCCAGCAGCTGCTCTGGCACTGGAGCAACCTGAGACCTCACAGCCTTTGGCTACATTGAGCCAGCTAATTTGGTCCATGAGCTGCTGCTGCCCATCCACACACTGGTATTAGGCTTGGGCTCATCTCCTCCCACCATCCCTTCAGCACCACAACTGTTCATGAGCAGGATGCAGGAGCCCTCCACATGTGGTTGGAACCCTTCAGGATTGTTTTTCTGTTCTTTGATGGAATTCAAACATGCCAGACAGGTAGAAAAATGACACATTGTCCGTGTTACTGTTCCAGAGAGAACAGCACCCAAAAATGATGCAGCTCCATCTCCAGCGGGGACAGAGGAACAGGCCCTGCTCCAGCCCACCGTCAATGTCAAGGCTTTCCCATCCCTCAGGTCGGGAAGAAAATCACCACTGCCCATGGCTGTAGCAAAACCACATGGGTTTGGATGCTGTCTTGAAGCTCGTTTTCCATGGGATCGCTGGCATTTCTCAACCCAGCGAGCGGCACCCGCCGGGCTCAGGCGATGACTGGGCTCACTTGCAGTTAAGCCCCGTATCACATCATCACTGATGCCGCTTTACAGCCCTGTCAGCGACTCGGGGTGGGGACACCAGGACAGCCACTCCTGACCTGAGTCTGAGCCGTTCCAGGGCAACAGTGACAGGGGAGGAGGAGATGGCTGTGACTGGCCGATCTTATCTTGTGTCAACAACACTCAGCTTTAAGGAGAATGATTGCAGGAACAAAAACAAACAAACCCAGCTCGACCACACCAACAGGGGAGCTTCAACCTCAAAAAACACCCTCCGGGCTTCCACACCAACGGTCCAAACTGGCTGAGGACCACCAGAAAGATCTGCAGCTCCTGCCAGAGCCCAAAGGATGGGTTTGTTTGTTTTTACTGTGCAGCAGGAGTCTGGCAAGGTGGGGGAGGACCGCATCTCACCCATGTCATCCCAAGGCAGGAGGCTCCAGGCGCAGGTGGTGGGAACAGGAGATGAGCACCAGCTGTGCCTCTCTCCACCTTTTCTACATCCACGTGTTGTTTTATGGCTTTGAATCACTCAAAACATGTCTTCTGCCACACAGCTCAAGTGGAGGTGGCAGCAGGTCACTGGGAGGGGTGACCCAAGGGGGAACACCTGGAGAGATGGTCCAGAAGCACAAAAGCCCTCCTAGCAAAGCCGGGTGTCCTCCTGTAATCCCACACATCATTTAGTCCAGGAAAGCAGCTGGAAATCGGCTGTTCTTGGGTAGAACCTCCAGGCTTGGTTCAGCTCCACAGTCCTGAGCAGCTCTGCTGCTTCCTTGCCATGGAATCCTCCTCCACCCCATCACATGCCTCTCCCCAAGGACAGGCCTCTGCAGCCAAGAGCAGTGGTAGCAACCAGCAGCCATCACCTGATTTCCCATGTGGCACACAGTATTCCTCATCTGAAGGTCCAACAGATCCCACAACACTCAGAGCACGCTGACCCAAAGGTGTCCTTCACAGCTGGTCCATCACAGTTATCTCTAATCACACTTGGAGGCGACTGGATCTGAGCCTGGGAGGCACAAGCAGTAAGTTCCAGCAGGGCTGACCCACCTCCACATCTGGTTCTCCCCAAATCTGAGACAGCCTTTGACCAAACAGCAATGCCAGCAACCCAAGCAAGAGGCCTGGGGTGTCCAACCCAGCCTTGGTGAACAGGGATAACATTAGCAAACCTGAGCCAAGCAGTGGTGGAACAGAGGTTTTGGGAGGTTGTGGAGGGGATTTCCTACAGCAGCAAGGCTGGGAGATGTGGGAAATCACCACCACACACACCTCCACCCACTCAGGATCAGGACTGTCATTTGCCAGTATCAGCCCCGTGACCTGGTAACGGGACCACATCACTGCTCCTGCCTGCTTCAGGCACGTGGGGGTGGAAGCATTTATTTTCCCTTTTTTAATATGTTTTAAATACCTCAATTAGTGCATTTTGGGCTCCTTACACATTGCCCCCAAGCAGTTCTTCTGTCAGGGGCTCTATACTTCCACTGGTGATTATTAGTGGGGCACAGGGTTGTTATTTTTCCAGGCCAGGGGCCAAATTCGTATTTAATTTTTGCTCCAGATGGCACGGCACTCCAAATGCATCAGCTGGAGCATCGAACCTGTATGAATAAAGTAATAGAGCAAACAACATGATTTACTCAGGGGCTGTTTGACACGCTTAACGTGCTTTGTGTACATCTGTTGTGCAAAAAAAAAATAGCATTCAAATGAATTCAGGTGATGGGTATGGCTATTAAACCCAACACCTGAGGGAAATGAAACAGCAGTAGGAATCTAAAAAATAATGATGATAATAATATTAGAACTTATGTTTTGCTTTCTGTAAAGTCAAGGATATCTTTTAAAAGAAGGCTGATTTCAGCCTTCACTGCTGAGCACAGGCCTGGGTTTTGTTCACCTTCCTCTGTCCCCAAAGCTGCTGCTGGCAGTGGGTCTTGCAAACCAGGGTCAGAGTTCTCCCAGGAGAAGGGCTGGTGATCCCAGATTTCAGTGTGGTGCTGAGAGCTTATGGCTCTGCTCACCCGAGGAGATGCAAGGAGGACACCAGAGGACAACCACGAGATGTTCCAGTTATGCTTCTGGCAAATTCACCCCGTTCCCAGGAAGCTGCTGCATCCCTCCTGCACAGCCTGAAGCTGGGATGTGCTCCCTGCAAACTAAAGCACCCAAAATAACTCAGAATAGGGTAAAAAAAAAAAAAAAAAAAAAAAAAAAAAAAAAAAAAAAAAAAAGAAAGAAAAAAAAAAAGAGACATTGAGTAGTCGGCTTATCTGCCTGGGCACACAAAACGCCACCGTGTAAAAACCAGCTGAGCCCGCAAACGCCTGGAAACAAAGGGACTGGGGCGGGGGGGTGGTGTCTTTTTGTGCTTGGCTTTGCTCCGTTCAGAGCATCCTCGGGCTGCGAGAGCCCGTCCTGGCGGCACCCAAAACAAAGGAAAGCCGGGAGCTGTAGGCAGGAGCCAGCTGGGGAAAACCGGGACGACGAGGAGGAGGAGGAGGAGGAGGAGGCACCCGCATCGCCCTCCCCGGCAGCTGCGGAGCCGAGCTCGCGTGTTGCCGAACACGTTATCCATGGCAGGAAACTCGAGATCAAAGGCGAGGAGCGTGCCAGAGCAAGATGTCATCCCAGCCTCCTGCCAAAGGTGTGCACGGGAGGGGGGAAGCAAGCCCCAGACGCAAACGCTGGCACATCCGACGGAGTGACCGAGACCCACGCGTGTTCTCCTCCGTGCGCCCCGGCGAAGACAAAGACAGGCTGAACTGAACAAACAAAAAAAACCACCCCAAAACCCCAAACCGCAGGAGGTGCATTTTTACCCGTTGGTTTCCACTCCCCAGGGTCCCACGCACGTCCCCTGCCAAAGCGGCGGATGCAGGGAGGGTATGGACGTGCCGGCAGGGCAGAACAGCCCAGTGTAACTCCAAAAAAGCTTTTCCCATTGCTGGGTGGTTTGTTTTTTGGGGTTTTTTTGCGTTTTCTTTTAAAGCAGAAGAAACCCGCAGCGTCCTGTCTCGGCCCCAGGAAAGCAAGGGGACGTGTCTGACTCCGAGCCAGCGGCTACCGGGAACAGAGGTGACCCGGGGACCCTGAGCCGAGAGTGGGATGGGACCCCCAGGAGCTCCCCTTCATCAGGGGGGACCCTGAGCCGAGAGTGGGATGGGACCCCCAGGAGCTCCCCTTCATCAGGGGGGTCCAGGCAGGATGGGCGCTGGGTGGGGACATGCCCCTTGTCCCTTTGTGCCGCCCCAGCCCCCTCCTCCATCCCTCCGGGGTGATGCAGTCCGTGCCTCCAGCCTCTGCTCTGGGCTGTCCCCTCTGCCCCACAAGCGGGACCTTATGGCAGCCCTACAGCGCTGCCAGA